AAATTATAAAAAAATTGAATTAAAAAATTACACAAAAAAATGAGGAATTTCAAATAGTTAATTTGATACTAATATTCGATATATTTTTGTCAAATTTTTATGATATCTTCAAACATATATTTTATTCAAAAATAAAAACATTATCGCTTTCTCAAAATCACATAAAGCCATATTGTTGGGTCACCTTTTGATTTGGTGATGACTCACTGATATGTTCATCTACCTTAGCAACACTTAGTAGTTATTGGTTCTTTGTAAATTGGTGTCTTGGTACATACTTAAAGCCATTGGCAAAATCGAAGACTAGCCGATGTGAAGACAGAAGGTCACCAATGCGGTGTTGTGGATCAACTGTCTAATATACACACCAAAACTCCGAAGTAGCTGAAATGCATATTGAAAATATTTTGAAGCTACAAGCCGATTGAAGGAAGATCTTCATAGACCGAAGATTGAAAATCTTCATGGACTCAAGATTGAAGATCATGGACCGAAGATTTGTGTGTAGCTGCTTGAAGCTACATATCCATCCAAAGGAGATCTTCCTATAGACTGACCATATCTCTACAAAGTTTGTCTCTGCATGAACTGTGTTGTATGCATGATGTGTACGATGAAAATGAGATATCAACATTGGTCAAGTCAACCTCTGCCTTCTTATCCTCAAGTGACAAATGTCCCCATGCATTAAATGTTGAAGGTAGTATAAAAAGGCAGTGTGCATCTCCCATGCACACAACTGCCTTTTGCAAGATTACTTAGTGCACTCTCAAAGCAATCGGCTATTCTCTTCTACTCCCTTGCTCTCCTGTGTGCGAAGAAATTCTTAGTGTTCTTCATTTCCTTTCAAGAACTCTCTGTGTTGTTCTTGAAAGTTCTTCTCCTTGTAAGATTGTTTAGGTTAGGTTTTCCTTTCCTATCTTCCGCAACAATCTTTTGTATTTCTGTGTGTATTAATTCTTGATATAAATCAATAAGAATTAAAAAGTTGAAAATAGTCTGTGTAATTGTATTCAACCTCCCCTTCTACAATTACTTTCTTTTATTGTCTTTCCCTTCGGGACTAACACATATTATAACATCGACTGATATAAAAAATAAAATGAAATATTAAAATCACGATGTATTTCGCTGCATTACGCGAATACGCTTCTAGTATTATTAAATATAAAAAAATACGGTTAAATCTTAAAATGAAGCCGAAGGATAGTAAGATGTTTAATTAGTTATCAACCATGTCTATTTAACATATATTTATTTAATTCATCATTTTAAAGAGAGTAGAAAAAACTCAAAACAATCAAATCCCAAGTTGAAAGCTTATGATGTTAGATTTTGACTGGTTTCTTTCTTGGCCATTTATAATTCATCATGTTATTTAATATATATATATTTAATCCATCATTTTAAAGTATTAATCATAATTAATGAATTATAGTCATCTTTCATGAATATTTAAATCATAATAAATGAACTCTTATCAGTTTCATAGATATCTCAATTGATTGAGTTGTATAGGTTGTATAAATAGACATGATTGCATTTGAAATATATCCTCTCTCTCTCTTTATATATATATATGATACACATGTGATACTAAACGAGAAATTGGATGGTATTTGAAAGCGGGAAAGTGTTGCCATGCATGTGCGTGTGTCCAGCAAAAGGAGGAAGCCTTGCTTATAAAAAGGCCTCTAGAAGTTTAGCAATTTCCATTTGTAACTTGTGACATGGTGGTTGTACTCTAATACCAAACAAAACCTTTCCTCCAACTTCTTTTTTCTAGTTATTTTTCTGCTTTTCATATTGAGTTCCTTGAATTTGAATCATTTGTTTGAATATTGATTAGAAGGTGTTGTGTTCGAACGAATCATTTGTTGACCCATATATATATATATAGAGAGAGAGGAGTGATCATATGAAAACCGCCCTCATTTGTGTAAACCGTGCAAACCACCTTCATATGTCGATTTCATTGTTTAATCTTATGAAATTTTTTTATGAAATTGTTTAATCTTGTGAAATTGTTTCATATAATACTTTTTTTGATGAAGTTGTTTCATATATGGTTGTGAAATTGTTTC